TAGATAGATAGATAGATAGATAGATAGATAGATAGATAGATAGATAGATAGATAATTTAGAATTGGCAAAAAATATATATTAATTGTGATATTTAAATTTATTAATGAAAATTTTTTGAAGTAACATGTAACAAAATATATAAAAATACATATTTCAAAATTAGCCTATAATTTATTTGGGGTGGGACAGAAAAAAAATCCTTATTGTTGTCTTAAAATTACAGACAGACAGACAGATAGACAGATAGACAGATAGATAGATAGATAGATAGATAGATAATCATAACGGCCAACAAGTAAACTAGAATGAACTTTAAAAAGTCACATTATACGCTTGTCATTCTGCTGTCTTTGATCAACTACTACTGTAGAACTACAGAATATAAAGTCTGTATCTCTCGACTTTCCAGAAAGTCTTGGGACACACGTGCCTGTGGTCCATCTCGCATCCCTGTGTGGATCTGTACTCACCTCTCCACAGCGACGCAGCCGGTGACAGAGCAATGAACACGCAGCAGAGGAACCGCTCCAGAAACGCGAGACACCTGCAACCATGAACCACAGCTGTTTTTTGTTTTGTCCATCTTTGTCATTTACAGTCCAAAAAGCTTTTCTGTAAAGTGCATTTCTAACTTATACCTTCTTGCCATTTCAGTTTGTACAACTTATCTGTTCCGACAGCTACATGGGACCCTGGTTGGAAGGTGCAGGAGTTTCCCGCTTTAGAGTTAGCAGAGACCTCGCGCCGGTGCAGCAGCTGATGAGAGTGATCCGGGAGCCGCACTGATGAAGGAGACGGAGCGGGAGGACAGCGGCGCACGAACAGTTCACCAGGAATCCGCTGGGTCCTAAAGCCTACCCGGGCTGCTGGATTCTCGAAGTAGATATAACTGCAGACCGGAGAACTCCAAAATGGGGCGTGAACTCCAAAAGTGGGCAGAACCTCCAAAATGGGGCGGGGTCTCCTCGCTCAAAGACTTTCACCATTGGCTCTGGCTCCAGCCAATTGTTATTGACTTACATTTCAAAATAAAACTTTATAAATTAAACATTGTTTCTAGTTGATCTAAAATAAAATATGCTATATAAGTAAATATTCTCCGTGAGAGCAGAGCCCAAAGCTCGTGGCCAGTGTGGAGTTTGAACCTCTGCTTCATGATATAAACGATATAAACGGGAATCACCCACAAGCTCTCCCACGGGCGTCAGCGCAGGGGAAAGATTTTACTCTATCGATTTGTTTTAAGCAACGGGGGCATCCCGGGGCTCGAAAGACTGTGCAGTCAATCTCACTGGTTAAGGTTAGGGTCAGGTGTGGGGTAGGTTTAGGGGTTAGCATTTTTTGTAGCATAGTGTAGGAAATCAACACTTTAATTGACAACCAATAAAATCTTTAGAATCAGCTGTGGGGCGGAGTTTGCACTGAAGTGGATTGGGGGGAAAAAGTGCGCATGCGTGTCATGTGCCTGTCTGTCAATGGGAGGAAGCCACGCCCTATTTTGGAGCTCCCACCCCGTTTTGGAGTTCCCGCCCCCATTTGGAGATCTCCAGGCTGCAGTTATACCCTTCTCGGACAACCCACCTACCTGCTCTCAGCCCCTGTGACGCCACGAGCTTCCATATCAAGTACGGAAGCCCTAAGAGATCATGCATTTTATGTTTTCTCTTGTTCGGCATTTATTAATATTAGTCAATGTTAATTTAAACGTTACATTATTAAAACTTGTTAACATTATGCACTGTGAACTAACAAACGATAAACAGTAATATTTTCACTAACACTAAAGATTCACTAAAGATTAACAAATGCTTGCTCATTGTTAGTTAATATTAGCTAATGCATTTACTTATGTTAACAAATTTGACCTTATTGTAAAGTGCTACCAACCTAGTTCACCCAAGAATTTTGTTTGCATTATTAGCATTATTGTACTGTTTTCCCGTGACCTCAGCATAACAAAAGTTGTTTTCTTAAGAACTTGACTCTTTTTATTTTTTTATTATTTTTATTTTAATAACTGTTTTCTTGAGATCTCAAAATGCTTTAGTTTTTTTCCTGATTTAGAAATACAAAACCTATTTCTAAGTGCAATATGGATGACCGAATTGATCAGAAGAATGTTTTTTCTTCCTGTGAGAAACCTAAGTCATGATCACAAGAAAACAAGACAGAAAAAGTTGTCTTCAAAAAGTGTTCTTTTGGGAAAAACATGTTTTTTACCATCAGAATAGATAAGTAAATAATGTACAAAATTAAAATTCCTGGGTGAACTAGTAACATTAGGTAACATTAGTAAATGCATTAGCTTCTGTGAACTAACAATGAGCAATATATATTTTAAATAATCTTTATAAATGTTAGTTAATAAAAGTATAATTTCAATTGTTTGTGCATGTTAGTTCATGGTGCATTAACTAACGTTAATACTTTTTGAAATGAAATTGTTGCATATTTTGTGTGAACAGAGCAAATATGTAGTTAAAAAATAATATTATTGTTAATCATATGGCTTTATCTGCAAGATTGCAGAAACCTGTGTGGGGGAAAAAACTTTATGGATTTCTTTGATGACGCTAGATGAGTGTTGGTTTTGCAGTCTTTATTTGATAGCACTGCCAGCCTGTTGGCAGACAGATAAATCACAGTAAATCACTGGCATCGCTGTTATTAAATGATAAGTGTGTAATATCTGCGCCAATGTGGCACCTAACAAAAATGCAAAACAATTCGCCAAACAGATTGCTAATTTTGTTTGCTGACACTAGGGGTGCAAAAGTGAATTGGCATCACCGAAGTGATTGGCAAAAATAATGACAATTTCAAACAGGTTTCCTAAAGAACTCCCTGTCAAACATTGGTCACCAAGTGGCTAGTCCTGCTGCAAACTCACACCCTTGGTTGCGTCAATGTAGCCATATCAGGTTGGTTGAAACAGAGCAATGTTTTGATAACCAACAAAACCTTACCTACAGTTGTCTCTGCATGTTAAACTTGGATAGCATATTGTATTTTAACAATATGACATCACCTTGTTTGTACTGAGGAACATTTTGAACTGCCATTAATAAAAGGGGTCAACAAAAAAGAAACAAATCTGATCCTGTCTCTGAATGGGAACTATTTCAAATGTTTACAGAGTTCCTCCTATGCTTCCAGCCCTAATTTGTCTCCCAGATGAACTTGTCGCCGGCGCTCTTGAGAGAAGCATGACCTAGAGTGCAATTTTAACTTGGGGTTACATGGTGTGCTTGTGCAATGCAAAGGATAAGACGAAGTCCATTGTGAGCAGAGTGCTTCTCACACATAAAAGTTAATCACTTCTCAAATATGTCTGTCACTGTCTGGTATGCTGTCAGTTAGAATGGATTCATAAAATCAGAATCCAGATAAGACGTGTCCAATGAGCGCAAGACATTGAATTCTTAGGGATTGCTCTTTCGTGACCACTTTGGGTAAACATGCTTCTAGACATAGTATGAGATTAAGCAAAGACCCTTTTAAGAGTGATCACAAAATATTTCCGCTTTCTTTCAAGTTGAACTCAGACCGCACATTCTTTACAACAAGTGCGAGGTAAAAGAACCTGTTGCCCAATCAGATTTATACACCAGTGTGAACTGGGTCAATAAGAGTGCAGCTTTTGTTTTCCCAGTCAGGTCAGCTTTCTTGGGAACAGCGGCTCACCCAGAGAGGAAGAGGAACAGACACACACACACACACACACACCCTCAGGTTCGGAAACACCGACTGGCACACACATGCATGCATACAGCAGGAAGGCCGCCTCATCAAAGCATCTCCAGCATGTTCTCATTATGAGCATTCTGCACCATGGGTAACCTCTCAGTGAGGAGGAGAGGGAGGAGATGGGGAGGATCGCCGAGGAGTCTGATGCTAGTTAAGTCCAGTCACTGCCTCTGGAGCTAAAGCTGTGATCAGCAGTTTGTGGGCTGCTGTTCAAACATGTTCGCAGCCCTGATGAGCTTAGCATTCCTATAAAAGCAAATAATGCATTAAGAACATGGCAGAGAAATATATGAGTATGTATAGATTAAGGTACATGCAAAATATTCAGCATTCTATCACCACAATCATATCTTTCTTCTTTACTAGAACCTACCTTTCCTTTCTTTTCTTTCTTAACTTATATAAGACAGAGACACATTAAAGAGTAATGATAAAGAGATTTATGTTTAAACTGGCATTTTATCATTACAAATGATGTTTATAAATTTACAGTCCCTCTGGTAGAATCAACAGACTCAAC